TCCAATAACACAAAACAACGCAACATTCTCAACTGCCATCCACATCTCCCACACATCTCATCTACCTGGATGTACGTCTGTGCGTGTGCGCACCCTTTCACAGAGGCAGACACAACAACACAGATGAACATTCATCTCGCAAGGTCATTAGTATTCCATGGAACAACAACCAGGAATGTGGAGCTCTTGCACTACAATCAACTCGACTAGCAGACAAATCCAAACACTCAACCGCACACACATGCCACACCGCATCAAACTGACAACTCATACTCACCAACACCTAATAACACAAAACAACACAACATTCACAACTGCCATCCACATCCCCCACACACCTCATCAACATAAACCATAGTCAGTACAACCAAATAAATCTATTACACAACAAACACATCGTACTCCTTCACTAACAACATGTCGCAAATATACACTTTCACGAGATGCAACAGAAACAACACCAAACACAGCTTCAAACCACCTCGTCACCATACACAAACAATCAACTCCTCAATTCATTACATTCACACGCCCTTCTCTACTATCACAGACAAATACCCATCACAACTGACACATTTCTTCTTCAACTCAGCAAAATAACTCATCATACACTCTCTATCAACAGTCTTCACAACACCCACAACCACACTCTCCAACATAACACAACACAATCTTCAAACGAACAAACCAGTATCTACGAATACTATACACAACAGGAAGAAATCTCATCCACATAACTCACAAACCAAACACCAACCGACTGCTCAACACATACATACACTCTCTCAACGAAAAATTCCACACACAACTCACACCACAATTATTTTGCCACATTCATCTCTCAATCATGATACAAAAAAAAATATATATACACGCATACACAAGCTATCGCATGCTCATACGAACACCACTGCTCTCTAAATCCCACAAGGAACGACGATCTAGACGATCATAAACGAAACAACACATCACAACACCCTCACCAAATCCGTTCACAAACTGACTCATCAACCACACTCAGACATCGAAATGCCCTACCACACAACACATCAGATCACTCATCATCATAGCAAACATCGTCTGCAATAAACATTCAAACGTCAGATGTCTGTCTATCTACCTGGTTGTACGTCTGTGCGTGTGCGCACCCTTTCACAGAGGCAGACACAACAACACAGATGAACATTCATCTCGCAAGGTCATTAGTATTCCATGGAACAACAACCAGGAATGTGGAGCTCTTGCACTACAATCAACTCGACTAGCAGACAAATCCAAACACTCAACCACACACATGCCACACCGCATCAAACTGACAACTCATAATCACCAACATCCAATAACACAAAACAACGCAACATTCTCAACTGCCATCCACATCTCCCACACATCTCATCTACCTGGATGTACGTCTGTGCGTGTGCGCACCCTTTCACAGAGGCAGACACAACAACACAGATGAACATTCATCTCGCAAGGTCATTAGTATTCCATGGAACAACAACCAGGAATGTGGAGCTCTTGCACTACAATCAACTCGACTAGCAGACAAATCCAAACACTCAACCGCACACACATGCCACACCGCATCAAACTGACAACTCATACTCACCAACACCTAATAACACAAAACAACACAACATTCACAACTGCCATCCACATCCCCCACACACCTCATCAACATAAACCATAGTCAGTACAACCAAATAAATCTATTACACAACAAACACATCGTACTCCTTCACTAACAACATGTCGCAAATATACACTTTCACGAGATGCAACAGAAACAACACCAAACACAGCTTCAAACCACCTCGTCACCATACACAAACAATCAACTCCTCAATTCATTACATTCACACGCCCTTCTCTACTATCACAGACAAATACCCATCACAACTGACACATTTCTTCTTCAACTCAGCAAAATAACTCATCATACACTCTCTATCAACAGTCTTCACAACACCCACAACCACACTCTCCAACATAACACAACACAATCTTCAAACGAACAAACCAGTACCTACGAATACTATACACAACAGGAAGAAATCTCATCCACATAACTCACAAACCAAACACCAACCGACTGCTCAACACATACATACACTCTCTCAACGAAAAATTCCACACACAACTCACACCACAATTATTTTGCCACAATCATCTCTCAATCATGATACAAAAAAATATATATATACACGCATACACAAGCTATCGCATGCTCATACGAACACCACTGCTCTCTAAATCCCACAAGGAACGACGATCTAGACGATCATAAACGAAACAACACATCACAACACCCTCACCAAATCCGTTCACAAACTGACTCATCAACCACACTCAGACATCGAAATGCCCTACCACACAACACATCAGATCACTCATCATCATAGCAAACATCGTCTGCAATAAACATTCAAACGTCAGATGTCTGTCTATCTACCTGGTTGTACGTCTGTGCGTGTGCGCACCCTTTCACAGAGGCAGACACAACAACACAGATGAACATTCATCTCGCAAGGTCATTAGTATTCCATGGAACAACAACCAGGAATGTGGAGCTCTTGCACTACAATCAACTCGACTAGCAGACAAATCCAAACACTCAACCACACACACATGCCACACCGCATCAAACTGACAACTCATAATCACCAACATCCAATAACACAAAACAACGCAACATTCTCAACTGCCATCCACATCTCCCACACATCTCATCTACCTGGATGTACGTCTGTGCGTGTGCGCACCCTTTCACAGAGGCAGACACAACAACACAGATGAACATTCATCTCGCAAGGTCATTAGTATTCCATGGAACAACAACCAGGAATGTGGAGCTCTTGCACTACAATCAACTCGACTAGCAGACAAATCCAAACACTCAACCGCACACATGCCACACCGCATCAAACTGACAACTCATAATCACCAACACCCAATAACACAAAACAACACAACATTCACAACTGCCATCCACATCCCCCACACACCTCATCAACATAAACCATAGTCAGTACAACCAAATAAATCTATTACACAACAAACACATCGTACTCCTTCACTAACAACATGTCGCAAATATACACTTTCACGAGATGCAACAGAAACAACACCAAACACAGCTTCAAACCACCTCGTCACCATACACAAACAATCAACTCCTCAATTCATTACATTCACACGCCCTTCTCTACTATCACAGACAAATACCCATCACAACTGACACATTTCTTCTTCAACTCAGCAAAATAACTCATCATACACTCTCTATCAACAGTCTTCACAACACCCACAACCACACTCTCCAACATAACACAACACAATCTCCAAACGAACAAACCAGTACCTACGAATACTATACACAACAGGAAGAAATCTCATCCACATAACTCACAAACCAAACACCAACCGACTGCTCAACACATACATACACTCTCTCAACGAAAAATTCCACACACAACTCACACCACAATTATTTTGCCACATTCATCTCTCAATCATGATACAAAAAAATATATATATACACGCATACACAAGCTATCGCATGCTCATACGAACACCACTGCTCTCTAAATCCCACAAGGAACGACGATCTAGACGATCATAAACGAAACAACACATCACAACACCCTCACCAAATCCGTTCACAAACTGACTCATCAACCACACTCAGACATCGAAATGCCCTACCACACAACACATCAGATCACTCATCATCATAGCAAACATCGTCTGCAATAAACATTCAAACGTCAGATGTCTGTCTATCTACCTGGTTGTACGTCTGTGCGTGTGCGCACCCTTTCACAGAGGCAGACACAACAACACAGATGAACATTCATCTCGCAAGGTCATTAGTATTCCATGGAACAACAACCAGGAATGTGGAGCTCTTGCACTACAATCAACTCGACTAGCAGACAAATCCAAACACTCAACCACACACATGCCACACCGCATCAAACTGACAACTCATAATCACCAACATCCAATAACACAAAACAACGCAACATTCTCAACTGCCATCCACATCTCCCACACATCTCATCTACCTGGATGTACGTCTGTGCGTGTGCGCACCCTTTCACAGAGGCAGACACAACAACACAGATGAACATTCATCTCGCAAGGTCCTTAGTATTACATGTAAGTAGAATGTTGTTGTTCGAGCTTCTGTACAGTAATTTTGGAAGCTTATGTTCGGTGGGAGAATAGTTGTAATTGAGATCGAATTCGGATGTTTCTTTTTCATACAACATTTTTAAGAATTGTCTAATACTATATGTGGATGTCGAGTGTGAGGAATGAGCATTTTTTTTATTTAAACACATAAATATTGGTACATTGAAACACCAGATATATATGCGCCATATAAATCTCATTCGATTTGTGTGAGGGCTGTTATACTGCCCAGGTTCCCGAACTGAAGAAGGTGGTTTTCTTAGGGGACCACACCCGGAGCCTTTGATCGAAAGATCCGATCCACAAGGCAGTGGAGCGTCGTGAGGAGATGTAGTCCCATGGTAGCCGGTGATCAACGATTGATTCGTACGCCATTTGTTCCTTCACGATACTGGAGCCCATGTGCACCACTGGTTTGGAATCAGGGTTCTCCAACTCACCTAGGTGGACTCGCCTTGTCCACCAACCTGGTTAAAGCATTTAGTAATTTATGACGTCATTTGAATACGTGGGATGTCGTATAAGATTATAAGGTATTCCTGTTTATATTGAGGAAAAAGCGCATGTGGTTTTTACGTACCATGCACGTTTATTTAGATATGGTGGATTGTGGCCGTCTCAGAAGCGACACACTGACGCGATTTATTACACACTTATTTCTAAAACAGAAGATGCAGTTACATACAGTAAACGTGCATTATTTTAAGTCCAGTTGTGTGACGTTTTATATTATGGATATAGAGAAACGAATAATAATGATAATAATGGCAATAACAATAAGATAAACACAAAGTTGCTACCTGGTTGTCGAACTGTTCAAATTATTACTTTTTCCTTTGTATGGAAGAAAGACTCGTTTCGAGTAGATTGTTATCCCATGTGATGTATCAGTTGAACAAAATTTTTATTTTCAGTGCTGTACATTTTATGGATTAGATGTTTATTGAATACATAGTCGATCGTAAACTAGTGAGCTTGAAGGCAGTTATTATTTATACAACAAAAAAGATATCACTCGGTTAGATGACTGATTCAAGCGCCGTCCAAATGTTATAAATAGATAGTATTTACTTTAAAAGAGATCTGATGAAGTGGAAGATATACATAAATTTTCGATGGCCGATTCTTCGATAATGGCATTTATTCTATTGACGGTTTCGAAAACGACAGTCGGTGAACACTGGTCTTGTAGCATTTTTAATTTTCCAATGACCATCGCCATAGCACTGCTGACGTCAACTTGTTTATCCCTCTTCAAAGCAGTCGATAGTGGTTGGAGATTATGAGATCTAGACCACCGCGGGTATCTACAAGGTGTACCTTGATGCGTAATAAACTTTATACAAACCAACTTACCTGTATGCAAACCGACAGAAAAGTGGACTTTTATGAGATGTCTGCACGGTAGCAGCTCAACTGAATTTAGTGAACAAGTACACACACCATTATTTCTATCCACTCTGTAAGAATTCCCATCATCTGAACAAAATATGAAATCATCTTCAACTTGCTCAATGGTGATGTCACTTTCGCGTACGATGTCGTTGTACGTTTTATCAGAAGCGTAATCTGTGAGTTGATTGAGAAATTCATGTAACTTTTCGTCTACATTGAACCTTTTATGTTTGAGAAGGCGAAAAGATCCCTCATTTTGTAAGAAGTTACAGCTCCTTTTAGCCTCCTTATGTAAAGCTATCAAGCAATCTTTCAGAGAGTCATGTTTTTTAAGTGCTTCTCGTATATGTGGGTGAACACATTTTACTACACCATTAACTTTCGTACCTAATGTAACAACATCTTGTAAGAACGCTGGCACCCACATTTCTTTTATAGGGATCCAATGTTCAGTGATGTAATCATAAACCTTAGAATCCAATTTCTTCATCTTTTGTAGATTACATTTGAATCTGAAAAAATTGGATAAAGTTTTTATTTACTTGTTTGGACATAAGGTAGACACCAATTCAGCAAAAATATTGTTTGCAATGGGATTTTTGAACTACCTTTACGTTAAAGAAGTAGAATGTATAATACCTTTCTTTTGAAGACCTTCCTAACGTATGATGAACTCAAAACAATCCTTGCGGTTGGAAAGGATTCTTGCACTAACTCTGGTCTAGAAACTGGGCAGTCTACAGCTACTGTCAGAGTTGAACTAACATCCTTAAAAATTTCACGGAAATGCTTTAGCAAAATGCACAAATTTTCTGTTTGCTCTGTGGAATGTAATGAAAACATTATGGGTCTTGTACGCAGAAGACCATCTGTCACAGCTATTTGGAAAATGGTAAGCCTAAGAAGTTGGAGAGAATACTTTACGCTCACCCAACGAGACTAACGTTGTAGGTGACACTGAAACTAAGAACTTCTGGGAACCGCTTATATAACTCGATATGCTCGTAGTGTGACAAAGAGACTTGAGTAATCTCACAGTCACACTGCTCCACGAATACAATGGAATCTTTACGTATCTCATCCAGTACGTCCGAAAGTTCCTTGGAACCTTAATATGAATAATTTCATGCAATCAACCAAACCAGGAAAAACTTGATTACGAAGTATCTTGATTTCCGAAGAAGTCAGTGGCCTAAGCAGTTTTGAGCTAGCGAAGGCTAGTATTGTTTTCATTCTGCAACCACACTCCAATAACTGCATTAGGAGTTTCGCATCTTCTTCTTTTAAACCAAGTCCAATAAGCCCCTCAGAACCCATTTTTGTGTAGCCGCCACGTTTTGATCAAACTTCAGACTTTGTTGGCCTGAAGAAGAGTTTTGAGAGTTCTATAAAATCTTAAACTGCTCTACTGAAGGTAGTTTTGAATATAAAGACTTGATATTCCCTCGTTTATCTATCCCTAGCTATCGAAACTAAACTACTTATTCATTCAGTCACAAGGATGGAGAGGATGAGTTCAAATAGTTTGTATTAACGAAAACGCGCCTACCAGCTCCCGAAAAGCTGAGGTTGGCTAAAAAAGAATATGATCACATGACAGACTGAGAACCCATCCGTGGGCTATAAAACAGCCCATGGGTATCCCCCCTTGCACATGGTTCCTAAAAGGGAGAGTGGCGTCTGACGTCCAACTATTGATTAAATGGCTCGAATGGTTGTGGAAGGAATAGAATGAGCTTTCGCCTAACGCGCTTCCGTGTCTAGTAGCAGTGGATCACCAATATCTCCAGACAGGAACCTAGGTATACTGTAAGCATCAGAAAGTCACCTCTAAGACGCCTATACTCTAACGGGTAACGGTTAAGTGATTGGAGGCGCTCTTCATAAGGTTTGAATTTGAGTCTTCGAACGGATATGTTCCAGAGTGTTCTTATCCTTTTGGAGTGAAGGAGGAAATACTACGTTCCAGTACATTAAATTGGGACGAATGAAACTCTTGAAGATTATGTGGAAAGTTTTACCGTTAAGCTGACAAAAAATGAGCCTCCATGTTACCAGTGCAAGGTCTGCTCGAAAGGCGTTTTTGTAACAGTTAGCATACGACTTCAAGTCGTGGAGTACAAACACTCCTAAATCTTTTTCGACTTGGGAAACTTCTACAGAGGAGTTTCTTAAGTTGTAACTGTAGTCTATTCGAACGGGAAGTTTAGTCCTAACGTGATTTACATTTCTCAAACTTTTGCTGTGTTCTTACGCAACAAAAGTATCATTTCCAATCCAAAGAATCTATTCTGAGCTACACGTTCGGTAGATTACTTCTTTTTTGTGTGTTTCACTCAAATTAATAGTTAACTGTGGTTTTGCCTCAGCTCACTATCGGTTTTTTTTATAGTTTTCACGTAAAGGCTAGCTTTAGCTTATCGTTAACTGTTTTATACATTTTTGATAGTTTTTGTTCACTGTGTGTTTTTTTAACGGTCCTAAATTTACTGCTTATATTTTTAAGACAGTCTAAATCACTAGCCATGAAAAATTCATGCAAGAGACCTGGTTGCCGTTTTGCCGTTACATCTGGTATGCAGTGTGACAACTGTAGAGGTTGGTTCCATGAGGCATGTGCAGATCTAACAGCAGCAGCCTATAGCAGACTCAGCAAGTCTGATCGTAAGTGGGTATGTGTTACCTGCAACACCGATACGGTAGTTATGTTGGGTACTATCATTACTTTACTGACAGGTCTGAGAGATAAGTTGTCTAAGAATTCGGTAAATGATATCATCATGACGGGTAACAAAGCTGGAACGCATAGGGCAAATAAAAAAAAGGATACTGACAGGTCGGTTATCGACGGTGCTGTTAACAGCACGAGTGATGATGTGCTGAAACTCAGCACCATCTTAACATCGACTGTCATCGACTCCCTCAGTAAACTTGGGTTCCCCGGGGAACGGTCCTTGAATGAGACAGTGGTTCCCCAAAATCCTGTAGGTGGATGGACTCACGTTAACAGGAGTAATAAAGCCCAAGCGTCCCCTCCGAAACTGAACGTCCCAAGTATCGTGCGGAAATCAATTGATGCTTTGGCCGCACAGTCTACACCCAAGACTGTCCGCCCGGTCATCACTGAGCCCAGGAATCGAAAACGCGCCTCGACATCCAAACAACAAGATACCAAACCTAGACGCCCTGGTAAACCTGGGAAACCAATTGCGGTTCGTGACGACTCTGTCATAATCATGAACCTAATTGACAACCCCGACCTTCCTCTCAGTTTGCAGGACAAAAACGATAGGATGCTCTGGGGAGAATTAATCAAGAGGATTGAACTCCCTAGAATAGAGCCTTTGACCGTCACACGGCTCACTCGGGGGAAGGACTCTAACCACCTAAACCACCCGACGCTGCTTCGTGTTACACTTAAGAATGCCTCCGAAGTAGAGGACGTCCTGCTAGCCAGTCACTTACTGAAGTCCGATGGGAACGTAAGAATACTGCCCGACATACCGTATTCTGAACGAAATCTCATCCGGAACTTCCCTAAGGAATCTCGCGAGGCGTTTTCCCGTCGACGAAATATCATTGTGCAAGGTGTGCCGGAAAATATGAACCCAGCTCAAGCAGACTCTGATATTCGGGAATGGAAATTCATCAAGCATTCCTTAAAACTCAAGAACATATTGACCTAACAGGTAATGAGACTGGCCAAGAGAGACGGAGACTCTGGGCCCCGGCTGCTGAAGATAACCTTCCCCTCCTCCCACATGGCGGCTGCAACTCTGGAAGCATTTCGTGCCAATAGACGTCGGTTGCCAACTGGCATCCATATGCATCCGGATAGGCCCCACGACAGCAGGATCAAGCACAAACGAAAGCTGGAGCTGACAATTCCACTCGTGGACTGTCTTGATCATAAAAAAACGTCTAAAGGACAGGGACTACCAACTCGGTAAACATCGTATAGGTAGGCTACCTGTCCACTCACACACGGCTCATATAGACAAACAAGAAGAGGCTCACGCGTTCCAAATTGAAAGCATAAACTGCCTATACACGAACGCAGCGAGCTTGCCAAACAAAATGGATGAGCTACGTGAACTTAGCAACGCTAATGATGCCCATCTGATAAGAATATCCGAAACTTGGATAACGTCTCAGTTTACGGACCAAGAGTTAGCAATAACTGGGATGTCTTTATTTCGCAACGACAGAAAAACAGGAATGGGGGGTGGGGTAGCACTATACGTACGGTCAAGCCTGGATGCGCACCAACTTCACAACTAAGAGTTTCACAATCTTGACGAGCCAGTATGGTGCTCAGTAAGATTATCTACCACCTCGAGGTGCCTAGTTGGGGTCGTTTACAGGAAGCCCACTGCCGACATAGAATATGACAAACGTCTGCTGGAAGGATTAACTCTCTCTACGCGTCTGGGATTCTCTCATATCCTGATTTTAGGGGATTTCAATCTCCCTAGAATCAACTACGTGGAACATACATACATTGGTGGTGCCAACTCTACTGGAAGTCTGTTCTTCAACCTTATCGGCGACCTGGGATTATTTGAATATGTGAAGTCGGCAACCCGTTGGAGAAACAGTCAGACGCCGTCACGCTTAGACTGGGTATTCACAAATGAAGAATTCCTAGTCGACGACCTCTCAATCCTGGCTCCCCTGGGGAAAAGTGATCATGCCGTCTTATCATTCAGCTTTGTCAGCAAGACGGAGCTACGATATCCTACTAGCAGCAAGCGCTGGAATTTCAAACGGTTGAATGTGTTAGCTTTACAGGACTATCTTCAACAGGTGGATTGGGATGTTCGCCCTGAAATTGAAGTGGATGCTCATTGGGATTTTTTACTGCACACGATCTTATGTGCTACTGAGCATTCAGTTCCTAAAATGGTCCCAAAAAGCTACAAGCAACCTGCAATCATCAAGAACCGCATTCGTCGTTTGCTAAGCCGCAAAAGGCACTGTTGGGCTGAATATAAACGAACTGATAACAACGGCGCATACAGGCAATACAAACATATAAGGAACATATGCACAAAGGCAATAAGAGAAGACAGGCTTCAGTTCCAGACCAAGCTTATCGATAGATTTGTCTCCAATCCGAAAAGCTTGTTAAGTTATGCAGCTTCTCTCCGACAAGGCAAAACTGGAGTTTCCCAACTGCTTGGTCCTAATGGCCCGACCAACAACGACAGTGATGCCGCTAACCTTTTGGCTGAACATTACTCCCGGACATTCCAGCTGACCCACATCAACCATACTGACGAAAGCTTCACCTGCACCTGTACAGGACTTTCCGAAGTGGACCTGAGTGCTGACCTGGTGCTCCGTAAATTGTAGAACCTAAAAAAAGACGCTTTTCCTGGTCCGGACATGGTTCATTCCGCCGTATTGAGGGAAGCAGCTTCAATTCTGGCGACACCACTTAGCGTGATGTTTGCACACTCGCTAAGCAGAGTCAAATTACCGGAAATATGGAAGCTGGCCCACATCACACCAATTTTCAAAGGAGGTCGACGCAGTGAACCCTCAAGCTACCGACCAGTGGCCCTTCTCTCCATACCTTCAAAAATTATGGAATCCCTAGTATTCGACGGCATACTAGAACACTTATCATCCTCAAAGTTCTTCTCGCCTCAACAGCATGGTTTCAGAAAAGGTCATTCTTGTATGACCAACCTGCTGACTGCGGTGGATAGATGGACAACCATCCTTGATCGCAAGGGGAAGGTTGACGTCATTACCTGGACTTCTCAAAAGCTTTTGATAGGGTCAACCATGCATGTCTTATCAAGAAGCTTGGACGATTGGGTATAAAACCCCCCTTCAATTGACTGGCTCACTTCATACCTAGAAAACCGACATTTTAAGGTCAGGGTTAACTTCACTCTCTCTCAGGCTATGGAATGTCCTAGTGGGGTCCCCCAGGGTTCGATACTAGGACCTCTTCTCTTCTTGATTTATATTAACGATCTTCCTCAACAAGTTTCATCTGACTTACTGCTTTTTGCTGATGATGTGAAACTTTGGAGAGAGATACGCAATCATAATGATATACTAGTTCTTCAGGAGGATCTGACTCGACTTCAAAGTTGGGCAGACGACAACGGACTTACCTTCAACACTTCAAAGTGCAAGGTAGTCCATCTGATACATGTTGCAGACTATAGTTATAACCCAGGTAACTCACCTCTAGAAGTTTTCCAAGTTGAAAAAGATTTAGGAGTGTTGGTACCCTACGACCTGAAATCGTATGCGAACTGTGACAAAAACGCCTCTCAAGCAAACCTTGCACTGGTAACATTGAAGCGCATTTTTGGCCAGTTTGACGGTAG